CATTGCGGCATGCTATTGCAAGTATGGTCCAGTGGTAGGGCATGAGACGCAGGTGAGCAGGGTTATATTCTGTCTGTCTCTCATAAGGATCAGCAATGTGATCTGGGAGAAATCATTTAACTTTCTTCCTCAGATTCACTATATCTAAAATAGAGAGAGGGTTGAAAATCACTGTATCAGTGCCAAGTGGTTTTATTTGTCAGGCAGTATATCCACTGTAAACCACAATTTATGAGAAGACAATCTCAATCCTTACTCTGAATTCCCTTCCTTTTGCGAATTCAAGTCAGACCAACATTAATTTGACATTTTTTGTGGTTTATTCTTAAACCCATCCCTCGCCAAACATCTTGCTTTTTGAGTTACCTTAAGCCTACTGCAAACAAACAAATCATAGAAATTAAATAGTAATAAAACTGTTGTTGGCTTCATATCATAAATTTTATCCAGTATTTAAATAGCAATTATTTCCAGAAACTTGGCAATTGTAGCCACATAAACGATCAAATTGATTCCCGTCACAGTCCATCTTTGTCTGGAAAGGAAATGCCAGTAGTGTTTGAAAAATGGATTATTAAGGACGTTGGTTCTCTGAAGGTGGCTCATATGTTCTATTTGCTAACACAGCATCTTACTGGAAAAAAAATATGTGCAGCTTTTCCCTATCCCAGATTATTTTCTCTACAAATCTTTGGAGCAGGGGCATGTGGAATTAGTTTAAGCAAAGCCGAACCCTGATCCTTCTGACCGCCTCATCTTTCCTGTGCTGTTTTGTCTATGCCTGCCTCAGAATATGTCAACAAATTTCCTCTAAGCTCAGAAGATGGGGGGAAGGAACGGTGATTGTGTCTTTTTTTTTTTTTTTTTTTAAGGGAATAATTTAGAACAGACATGCTTTCAAAAATGGTACAAGTTTGTCTTGTAAAATATTTGTAAAGAAAAATAGCCTCAGGATCTCCTAAAGTAATCCCTGCTGAGTTTTGGAGACGTCACAAAGGGCATTGTTTTTATTACATAGCTATAATTCTTTTCTCACACAATTTGATTATGAATCAAGATACATTTATAATGAAAGCAGCATCTGAGAATGTAAACTGAAGAAGCAAAACTACATACAGTATAAAGAGCAGAAAGCAGCTGTGGCTGAAGTGTGGTTTATTTGTTTCCTACTATATTAAAAAACAGATTTCTTTTCATGTATCTGAGGTAGCCGTGTTAGTCTGTATCCACAAAAACAATGAGGAGTCCGGTGGCACCTTAAAGACTAACAGATTTATTTGGGCATAAGCTTTCATGCGTAAAAACCCCACTTCTTCGGATGCATGGAGTGAAAATTACAGATACAGGCATAAATATATTGGCACATGAAGAGAAGGGAATTACCTTACAAGTGGAGAACCAGTGTTGACAGGGCCAATTCAATAAGGTTGGATGTGGTCCACGCCCAATAACTGATGAGGTGGTGTCAATACCAAGAGAGGGAAAATTGCTTTTGTAGTGAGCCAGCCACTCCCAGTCCCTATCCAAGCCCAAATTAATGGTGTTAAATCTGCAAATGAATTTTAGTTCTGCAGTTTCTTTTTGAAGTCCGTTTTTGAAGTTTTTTTGTTGAAGGATGGCTACTTTTAAATCTGTTATAGAATGTCCAGGGAGACTGAAGTGTTCTCCTACTGGCTTTTGTATGTTACCATTCCTGATGTCTGATTTGTGTCCATTTATTCTTTTATGTAGAGACTGTCCAGTTTCGCCAATGTACATGGCAGAGGGGCATGATATCATATGGGACATGATGGCATATATCACATTAGTAAATGTGCAGGTGAATGAGTCCCTGATGGTGTGGCGGATGTGGTTGAGTCCTCCGGTGTCGCTAGAGTAGATATGGGGACAGAGCAGGCAATGGGTTTGGCCATGTACATTGGTCAAACCGGACAGTCTCTACGTAAAAGAATGAATGGACACAAATCAGACAGCAGGAATGGTAACATACAAAAGCCAATAGGAGAACACTTCAATCTCCCCGGACATTAACAGATAAAAGTAGGCATACTTCAACAAAAAAACTTCAAAAACAGACTTCTGTATTGTTGGGTGGGCTAAAGGTACCACTGTTTTCATTTTTGCTTGATCAATACATTATTTGAACTAACAGCAATATGGTTATTAACCTCACAAATGAATTGAGGATACAATTTGACTCTTATTAGTGGATTCAGAATGACTTGCATGTTTTGCATCCCCTGGTATTTACAGCTTTTAGAGTATACTGAATCATTAGAAATAGTTTTGTCATATATATCCCTCATATGATTGCTGCATTACAGGCAACCCATCTTTTGTGCCTCAATTCTTTTAACATCTTTAGAAGAAATCTTGACACTGCAGTTTTTGAACCAGTGTCACTAGAGAACCTTTGGATGTTTAAACACTAGATATTTCTCTCATCCAAGCTGGTTTATAAGGAAAAAAGCAAAAATGACACTATAAGAAATATACCAATGCATTTTCTACTCTCAAACTATTGAACATTAGTGGAAAAAGTAAGAGATATTAGACTGCAACACAGAGCAATTCCATTACCTACTGTGGTTTTGGGTCAGATACAATATATAAAGAGTAATTACTTCATTCATAGGGGACCACGTTAGTATGTACTTTGTAATGGAAGAAGTTTTAAAGTAAAAAATTTCTATCCAAACATTTTGCTTTTCAAAACTTTGCTAACCCTGAAAAGCATCTTTTTAAATAGAACGCTTCTAAGAAAATACATTATAGGCAGGATGACAGTGAATCAATCCATTAGTAAATTTTTGGCCTATTTATCAAACCTCTGAATCACGTATGTTCTGAGAAAGGCCAGGGGAAAATGACTTTTAGCCACTGTAGTGGTAGAGTCGTTACATGCAGCATTTTTCAGTGGTAGAATCTGACTCCATATGGATCTGATGCTATGTGGCTACTGGGTGAGGATTCTTGGGGAGATCTCCTGGGGGGACGGAACAGAGTATCAACACGGGATGTACCTTGTGAGTAGTCCTTCAGGTGCATATCTGCTTAGCCTACTTGTTGTCAGTTTAATCTGTTCCGCTGACTAACGGTTCCTTCAGGAGGCAAAAAACACAGACAAAATTTAGTAAAACCATCAGCATGAAAAGGACTTGTAAGGGATGATTCCTAGTTTTCAGAGGCAAATGGTCATCCTGTTTTGGTCATTTCACAAAAAAAAAAAAAAAAATTGATCAAAGGATCTTAAAAGTTGAAAAAGATAATGAAATTGGATGTATACTTAATTAGACCTTTATATTAACACTAGGTGCATGCTGTCACATGGGTATAATTCATAATTCATGGAGGGGAGGGATAGCTCAGTGGTTTGAGCATTGGCCTGCTAAACCCAGGATTGAGAGTTCAATCCTTGAGGGGGCCATTTAGGGATCTGGGGCAAAAGCAGTACTTGGTCCTGCTAGGGAAGGCAAGGGGCTGGACTCCATGACCCTTCAGGGTCCCTTCCAGTTCTATGAGATAGGTATATCTCCATATATTATAAAGTGGAAAAAAGACAAAAATGGCTGAGAACTTAAAAATTGGATGGCCACGGACTGCAAATCTGTGATGATTGAACCTGGTGATATTCGGAACAAAACAAGAACTCTCAACCATGCTTGTAGCTATTTCCATTGCTTCACACTGACTGTACAGAGACAAGGTGGGTCAGGTAATACCTTTTATTGGACCAACTTCTGTTGGTGAGAGAGAGAAGCTTTTGAGTTTACACAGAGCTGCTCTTCTCCAAGACCTGAAGAAGAGCTTTGTGTGAGCTTGAAAGTTTGTTTCTCTCACCAACAGAAGTCGGTCCAATAAAAGATATTACCTCACCCACCTTGTCTCTCTAATATCCTGGGACCAACGTGGCTACAACAACACGGATGTTCTACACTTCAGAGTGACAACACAGAGTGACAATCCTGGAATCTTCTTATGTAGATAAAGTAATGGCTCTATGAATCAAAATCCAATACAGTTTGGAAATCTGGCTAAGGAAGTAACCAAACTACCATACAGAATGCCACCTCTCCTGGGAAGAGGGTGTGTGCTCATTGGCTAAATTCAGTGGAATGATTGTCAGACATACCAGTGACCTCAACAATTTAAACACACATCTGTCTGCTGCTAAATAGTGCACACAGGTTTGTCTGGGGAGACTGCACCTGCTGTGCTGTGGGTGTACCAGGATGTCCTAACAGGCTATACATTTAATTGGAATGTTAATAGACGATAGCAGCATAGGATCAGCAGTGCAAGGGTTTCTTTTTGTATGTCTATAATATTCAGAGCTGAAGGGAGGAGCTGCAAACCTTCCTATCACACTCAAGTTAATTCATTTGGCATTTCCCAATAGTGTCTCAGTCAAATTTAAAGTAATCCCTGCCCAACGGTGAGAGGAGGGGGAGAAAAATCATATACAGAAACTTGACAAGTCATTTTCTAAGGTCAGCAGCCTGTCCTTAGGACCTGAAGTGTGTCTGGTTTCTTACTCCCTATACTTCCAAAGGAGCTTTTATCATCTTGAAATGTGGATACCCACATCAACTGAAGAAAGTGCAGTTCAGAAATCTGAGATGTAATATAGCTGCTTGACTCTTATCACTGACCAGAGTTCATAGGATATGAAAGTGGCATCCTCTATAAGCCAGAGAGCTGAACTTTTGAAATGTATTTAGGAAACTGTTACAGTGACAGATGAAACTATGCTCCATTATGTACCTGGTTTATACACTGTCTGTACACAATATTCAAAGTAGAGGGAAAGAATTGTGGTATCTAAGATACTGCCATGTGGTAAGAGTTTCTAAATGCTGACTTTTTACTGATGAGCATTGTGTATGTCTGCAATATGTATGATTTTGAAATATACTTCAGAAATATATAGGACAATGAGTACAGTCAAAAAAGTTTTCACATAATTATTGCTGCTACTTCCTTTTTTTTTTTTTTTTTAGGATAGTGAAAGAAAAGGATTTATGAATAAACTCTATGCCATCCAGGAGGTGTGTGTCAGTGTCCAGAATGTCCTTGATGAAGTGGCTTCCTTTGGAGAAAGGATAAAGAAGTGAGTGCTGACACATTGGTGCTGGATTGCACTCTGATGGTGCTCACATTTTTTCCCTCCATACAAGCTGCAAAATGTTACATTCTTTTGGCGGGGACGACAGTTTTGGATGATATATTGCTAAATCTCATCATTATTTACTTTGCTTTATGCTGGCCCTTGGATGCATGAAAGTCCTGTCATTTTAATTCTGGAATTTAGAAATATATGAATTGGAAAAGAATCAGAACTGTGGCTTTGAAGTAAGAAATAAGACTGTCTTTCAGATGAGATACATAACACTCTTTTTAACCCAGACATTTTAAAAAAATCAATACAAAGTCATGATAAAAGAAATAAGCAGACCTAAATAAGGATTTCAGAGATTTTAAAGATACACATGTATTCTATTACTAGGAAGGTTTTATTTAGATCAGGTTACCTTGAAAACAATTTCTCATCCTATTTTATGTGTAATTTATAGTCTTTGTGCATAAAATATATGACTTACCAACATACTTAACCACTGCTTATTTTTTAAGATTTAAAACGATACAGCATATGTATAGATTGTTTTTGAAAACAAAATTATGCAGTGTTTGCCTTTGATTGATGCTGGCCCATTACAGGAAGTTTGGTATGTGTTTGACATGTTAAATGAATGAGTAATTTAATGTTTATTATTTGAGACCAGAAACATTCCATAAAGATTCTCTCAACTAAAAGACAGGACTAAATTCAACCTGGATTCTGCCAACATAAAGTCAGGTACATGTCCCCCTAAGATGGAATGTTTGGTGCAAAGCATTCACAACCTCCTTTCTGCTATGTCAATGCAGCCAAAAAGGTAGGGAGCTGCACTGATTCAGAGCATCCCCTCAACAGCCTCTACCAGCAGGGTTCCTGTGATACACTCAATGGACTCTAAAGCTGAGTGACAGTGAAAGCATTGTTTTCCTGCCTCATTTTCAATACTGTCCAGGGTCCAGACTTCACACATCTCTGTACTAGATTTGGTGAATCTGGCCTACGTGATCATTTATATTCCATGCTTATGAGATTGCAATATGTGCACAGTGATATAGCCACAAAAGAAATACTCCCAGTGGAAGCGAATCAGAAGAAAATGGCATATTGGTAAGTGGCCAGTCCACAGGATATATGAGGCTTACCATGCTCTCAAATGCTGCTTTCCTTCACCTCTTAATAGGCTAGTAGAAAGTGTTTTAGAATCAAGATGGTTTGGGTTTAGGGTGTGGGTTTTGGGTGGTGTTGGTGACCTGTGATAAACAGGAGGTCAGACTAGGTGATCTGATGGTCCCTTCTGGCCTTAAACTCTGTGACTCTGTGAGAATGGTGTTACAGAAAGTTGTAGTCTATGAATTTCAGAACAAAGGCTTTAAAAGGAAAACCTGAGAGCTCTTCCAGTGGGAGTATGTGTGTAAAATAGTGCATTATACAACTTTAAACCAGGCCAGACGCACACCAGCAGAGGTAAGCACAGACACTTTATATTGTGCAAGCTCTAAAAACAAGCCTCCTTTTGAAAGAAACCTTTCATTAAAAGGCTGCACAGGGAAGTCATCTTGATTATTTTGTTAAATTGTGCGTTTTGGAATTAGATATTTTTGCTCCATTGTATAAGAAAGCAACATAACTTGCTAAACAAGTGAGATTAATGACACTTCCTATAAATCTTTGTAATTTGTTCCTAAAAATGTAAAAGGAAAATTGTACTGAATACAGTGCTAACACAGCACATACGGAGGTTTGCTAAGTGAGGAGCCAGTGTTCCCACACATGGGGTGTCTGTGATCCATAGCACCCAAGGCGAGTCACAAGAATGCGAGCAGACCCTCAACCTTCTGTTCCCCCCAAATACATGCAGAAGAAGGGAAAAGAGCAGGTGTCCCCCAGGATTTAGGGAGTGATCCTACAGCAATTGACACTTACATAATGTTCACTCTGGAGACATGTCAAAATTGCTGGGGAGGAAAAAGACAAACACAACCAAAAGAAGCCCGAGATCATTATGAAAAATTATAGCTAGCAACTCAGACAATAGTAATTATTTAACCACAGAAGCCAGAATCATTTAGCCAAAATGATCCGGATACATATCTATTAATAATAATTTAAAGGGACACTGTCAACCTTTTTAGAGCCAAAAGCATACTTTTCTTATGGGAAGACAAATGCCAGGGAGCATCGTTGGAGTGGTAGTGATTTTTATATAACAATCCCTTTTAACCAAACTCCATTTAACAAAAGCTCCCCTGGGATTTTTTAAAATCAGCCATCTGGCCTTCATCTCTTCACTGCACTTCAGGGTGGGAGACCCACAACATAGCTGCTTCCAGACTCAGGCTCTACAAAACTGGCTGCTCAGCAGATCTTTATTACACTTTGAGATCTGGGACACACACACTTAGGGGTTTTTTAATCTGAAGGTTTGATGTACAAGCCATTTCCCTGAAACTTCCGTTGGAGCCCAATCCCTCTGTTTTTCCTTTGTCTTTGAACGAATAATGCCCGTCCCATTTTTTTGAGATTGGTACAGCTTGTTTCCTTATTGTAATTTCCTTTCTCTTTGACCACTCCCTTCTTTTGTTTTTCCCTTTCCTTTGCTGCCCTGCTTCTGTCTTTTTTCCTTCCCTTTCCTCCCTATATTGTCCCTCACCTTCAGCAAAATCCATCGTACATACCTTTCCCTAACCCACTAACATTAGTGTGAAAAGGTTGCCTACCTTGCACGTAGGCACACTTTTCACTCAGTCCTCCCCCACTGTGATTGAACGATCACTGACAGGAAGTTAAACAGAGAAAGACGTGCCCTCTGATCAGCTTTTAATTTCTTTCTCTGGCCATGTATTTCAGACAGAGCACAGGGGAGAATCAAATCAGACTACCCAAGCAGCACTGTATAATACTCTCATTCCAGTTAAGAGTGGAGGGATGCCTTGGACTCTGTTTGAGCAAGTGAACAGAGGGCAGGGATCTGGGGCTAAAATAGGGGAAAGTATTGGAACTCCTAAGGCCATAAGCATTGGTTTTCAGCTTGCATACAGGCACTTATAGGTGCCATCCTGCATGGGACAAAGAGTCTAAGCCCCAGTTTCATCTTCTCAGGGGGTGGGATCAAACCCGAGAACTCCAAAATGTTTAGCATCCATGCATTCATATGCAGTTTCAGTCCTCTCACTGCTGAATACTGACTGGTCCATTTACAGAGTTGTAGTCTGCCTGCCCGTTGTTTGTTCTCTTATTAGTTCTGTGAAGTGATCAGACTTCTGACTTATGTTAATTTTTCATTCAGTACATTCAACTGGACTGTCCCATTCTTAAGCTGGCTGGCAATTGTTGCCCTCTGTGTGTTCACAGTCATCCTGTATTTCATTCCACTGAGATACATTGTCCTTGTCTGGGGTAAGTAAAGCCTTTTTTTAACTGTCTGTGCCACTTAGAACAAACTGTTTTTTAAGGGATGAGTTATACTGTCAGTAGTTTTCAGTATTTATGGTCATGAAGCTATTCCATGATGGAAACAGACAGGCTAGTTAAAAATCACAACTGTGTAAAGATTTAGGCCCACCTGCAAAATGCATTTTTCTTGTCTGGCATTCTAGACTTCATCATACTATAAACATATAGCCATGAGGATTCTTCATATATCAAAGTGTAGCTTTGTCTAGATATTACTCTGATTTATTTTCACCACTTACACATGAATAGGGACATTTCAATCTATATAGTGCATTTAGGACAATATGTTTTTGCCGCAGCACTTTATCTTGTGTAAGTGTATGTAAACACAGTGCTTAGACACCTGCTTAAAGGGTCACCTTTAGACTAACAAAAACATATATGCTATTTTACTGGTGGATAATGAACAAAAGTGGGTTGGCTTTTTTTTGTTTGTTTTTGGTTTTTTTAGGAGACAGCTTAACCTCTCATATATGCTTGTGTATTTTATTTATACTGATTTAGAAAAGCTACTGTACAGTATACTAGTTATAAAGATTGTTCAATGTTTTCGATCATATATTTTTAACACCCCCCCACCTCTGTAGAGGCTGTACCTGCATTCTGTAAATACACACCCTGTACAGAGAAAATTCTCATGTAAGTCTATGGGAGTGACTAGCTTTTCTTTTCTGGAAAAACTCATGTCTTGGAGAATTCAATGTTCAGACTCCATGGACAACATATAAAATCACTAAAATGACTTCAAATAGTTAATTTTCTTATATCTAAATCAGGATTAGGAAACTTGAAGCAAACTGGGTGGAGGCAGAATATTTTGAGTCCTTACACATAAATGAAATGACACCAAAATTGATTATACAGTTCAGAAAACTTGTATTTGATGAGCTATGAACACAGAAGAAACAGGAAGCAGTTAAGAAGTTTTAGGGAAAAAAATCTATACAAATGAAAGAGGCAGGTATGAGGTGTTTTATGTTCAAGGATTTCATCTTACTACTTACTTTTCTACCGCTAAGCTTCTCTTGCTATGAGGCACAGTCTTTTAGTTTGTTTCCAAAATTGCATTTTTCCCCACATAGACCAGGTGATAGAGCATTTGTGACAGAAGTTTAAACTGTTGACTAAGTCCAGAAAACTGTTCTTGAAATGGAGCCTAGCAAACACACACACATTTTCACTTTATTTGGAGTTTCTACCCTCCTTGATGTATATTCAACTCCTCTTCTCATTCATTTTTTCTGCATTTAAAAGCAAATGCTTATTTTTATTTGGTTTTAGTGAAAGACAGGTTGTCACCTCCAGGAAAGTAGTTTCTGAGCTGCTTTGCAAATTCATATGGCCATGCTGCTGTTTAGTGAGGCAACTCTTCTCCTTAAGAAATTTCCTCCATGCAATGTCAGATAGTATCTGCATTGCTACATTTTTCTCTTTTGCACCCACAGAAGACTTTTTCTCCAAGACTCTTCATTCCAAAGGATTCTTTGCTCTTTCCTCTGAATAAACTAAGAATTCTCAAACTTGTCCAGTGTCTCTTCTGGACCACCTGCAATCTAATTCTGTTAAGAAGCAGCTGATTCCATGTGGTCTGCCAGCTCTTCCTTACCAACAGGTGGTCTAAGATCAGTTTGAGAAGGTCTGGGATAGACACTTGATTTCTCAGTGCCTCCAGGCTGAATTGGGTCCCCTCAAATGGATGTGTCTGGGTCTCAGATTCCCTATTCACCAATTTTAGTAAGGGCTGGAATTTCAAAACGTACACCAATTACCAAATTCACCCCCTCAGGGTGCAACTTTCTCCTCTCCTCATGTCCTGCACTGCAGGGCAGTTGTGTAGAACTGTGGATTCACTCTGTCGAAGGCCAGTGGTGTTACCACTGCTGCTCTGCTATACACATTCTGCCAAGGGCATGAAGCTTTATAACCTAGCTAGAGTTTCATAGATGATCTACCAGCAAAGGCTGCCTGAATGAGAAACGGAATCAGCTTATGTCCCAGCTAGCTTGGTCCCAAGACCCACAGAGCAGGCCCAGTTCATTTTGAGTGCTGTCCCAGCTTGCTCTGGCTGATGTGGGATTCTGGGAGGCTTGTGCCATTGTGGGCCCTGCTTTGGACAGATTTGTTTTCACAGCCCACAAATTAGGCCTTGCCAGGCTATTACCCAGGGAGCCCTCCGGGATGCTTCAGACCCAGTGTCTAATATGCAATAGCAATTGTAATTTAGAAATGCTGTTTTAGCTTAGACTTGGTAAGATGGGCGTGGTACCTTAGAACTTTGGTTGCTGATTTGAATAACCCAGTACAGCTTTTCTTTTTGTGGAAAAATAAACTATCAAACCTTCCATTCTAATAATATTCCTAAGTCAAAATATATATTAAAAAAACCCACAACAAAACTGTGACAGGAGCTTGAATCTGACAGTATAGCCTGAGTTCTGAAGCAGAGGAGTAAAGATCATTACTTTGATTTACTGTAAAGTGCCAGAAGGTAAAAACAAAACAGTTGCCACTAGAGCTGACCAGGAAATCAAATTTCCATTCTTCAGTAATGGAAGAGTTTTCAGAAAATTTGTCCCAATCGGGCCAAAGAGTCTAAATTTTTTGTGAACTGAAGTTCTGCAATATTTAATTTCAGAAATACCAAAACACATTTCTGGAGTGAAATATGCTCCCCAGGACCCTTGGTGGTTGCTGACTGAAACTGACATGCAGTTTTGTAATCAGAAGCTGCTAGGGCTTCCAGGATACCCAGCTCCATGACAGTCCCTGAATGTTCAGAGTTGAGGGTGCCATGGAGCCTGCCAGCCCCAGCAACATATTGCATATTTCAGAAACATCATGTTTTAGTGTTTCTGGGATGAAATATTGTGGGATGTCAGGACTCCCCAGCTCTCTGGGCAGCTTGCTCCCCAGACTCCAGAAGTTGGGCAGCCAGCTGGTCCAAGAGTCTCATATCATGGCAGAGCTTCCCTGGAGCTGTCAACTCCGGAAGCACTGGGGTTCCAACTCTAAGACAATTCTTCAGGCCAACTGCCAGGGAGCTGGGCAGGCAAGCTGGCAGGAAACCAAGCAGGTTTTTCACTGAAATGTGCCTAGCAGGCAGGTTTTGAAACATGACTAGCAAGGTAGGGTTCCATTGGAACCCTTCTCAAAATCTACATGTTACCACAAAATGTTTTGCTTTTGACAAATTGGCATTTTCTAACAGAAAAATGTTCCATCTGAAAACTTCCAATCACCTTTAGGTGTTACTGCCAAGATGAAAATTAAACGAGGGGATAATGGGGGGGGCGGGGGCGGAAATACTCCATGAGAACATTTAGAGACTGATACCATGTCTACACTACAAAGTTTCGTCAGTGCAAGTTGCATCGGGAAACAGTCGTTGACTTTTGTATATCACTTGGGTACTTGCGCGCTTGGGTGCTTTCGTTGGTGCTACACATACCCAACATAAGTGTTGCGTCAGTGTAAAATCTGGCACACCCTGGGTAGGTATCCCAGTGTGCCCTGTGCCACTGCCCAGCCCACTGTCTTTTGGGACATTTTTGCGGTGCTTTATGGGATATCAGGGATTTGCTTAGTCATTTCTGGGACCGAGAGGTCAAGTTACCACCATGCTGCTTTCTCCATCCTGAAATAATTCCCACATCCTATAATCTTCACACCATTTAAAAAAATCCCCACAGCCCCATGCACTGCATTTTTATCTCTGCCATCTCTCTGGCAGAAGCATGGATCCGTCACAGCTCAGCACCATTCTCATGAGAGTTGCTAATAGGAGATGCACGGTTCGCCTGTATTTGCAGAACTTGAACCAGTACTACTACAACCAAGATTGTGATGAGGAAGATGAAGAGATGTTCAAGCACAATAACTAGATACTCATGGGGATGATGAAAAAAATGCCAGGTTGCTGCTGGTGATTGCGGAGCCGTTCCACATGGTGGATCACTGCTTATGGGCTTGAGAAACGAGGGCTGATTAATAGGATCTCATTGTAATGCAGGTTTGGGATGATTAGCTGTGGCTTCAGAACTCTTGGATGTGACAGGCCACACTCCAGTATCTGTGTGCTGAGCTTGTCCCAGACCTCCAGTACTGGGCCATCAAAATGAGATATACTAACAGTGGAGAAGCAAGTGGCAATCATGATGTGGAAACTTGCAACGCCAGATTGCTGTCCATTAGCTGACAATCAGTTTGGAGTTGGAAAATCCACAGTGGAGGCAGTTGTCATCAAGTGTGTAAGGCCACTAAGCATCTCCTGCTACACAGGACTGTGATGCTGGGTAATGTACAGGAAATAGTGGATGGATTTGCAGCAATCGGGTTGTCAGACTATACTGGGGTGATACACAACATGCATATCTCTATTCTGGCACTAATCCACCTTGTCACTGTGTACATCAACAGAAAGGGATACTCTTCCATGGTTATGCAAGTGCTAGTGGATCACCAGGAGCACTTAATTGATAGCAACATGATACTCTCATCTTTAAGAACACAGGACTTCTCAAAAAGCTGCAAGCAGGAACGTACTTCCATGACCACTGGATTACCCTTGGTGATGTTGAAATGCTAACAGTGATTCTGGGGGACCCGGCCCACCCATTACTACCCTGGCTCTTGAAGCTGTACACTGGCTACCTGAATAGCACCAAAAAAAGATTCAGCTACTAGCTCAGCAGGTAAAGACCGTTGAATGTGCTTTTGGTAGATAGAAAGGGTGCTGGTGCTGTTTATTCACTAGCTAGGATCTCAGCAAGGCCAACATCTCCTTCATTATAGCTGGTTATTGTGTATTACATAATATCTGTGAGGATGAAGGGGACTGGGTGTCTGCTGAATTTGAACAGCCAGACACATGGGCTAATAGAAGAGCCAACTGGAGATATATGGCTAAAGGAGGCATTAAAGAAAGACTCTTAACAGTCAACCACAATCATGTTCTCTGATGGTTTTATGAAAGTGACTGTCGTGTGTACGAAGATTAAATACCAGTGGGTGTTTGCTTCCTGCTGTGAATTCTGTAATGCTTGGTGTAAACTAATAAAGATACTGAGTTTCCAAAAAAAGAACTTTGTGTGCAAAGAAACAGACAACAAAATTAAAGAGCCAACAAACAAACAAAGTTAAGTCTTCTACCAACACTGTAAAAGGGTGAACCATACTTGAAAACACCAAGAAAAAAGGAAGTAAAGCGTGATCATTAATATTCATATATGTAAAACCTACTACAGTATAGTAGGTTGTGGCTACACATGCACCGTGTGGTTTTCACAGTTCTGTATATGTGTAGCTATGATTCTTCTTCTTGTCCCGCCTGTGTGCAGTGGTAGGGATAAGGATGTAGAGTAGGCTGCCATCTGGTATGTTGGGGGATGTAGGGAGCTGCGACTGTGGAGTTCTCCAATAACTGGAAAGGCTGTTGAGTCCAGGATCTTGGGCATGTAGGTCAATACTGCTCTGCAACATCTGAGTTTGTTGCCTGAGCAAATTCATGATGTCCTGGTGCGCTTCCCAATGCACCTCTCTGTCTTTTTCCCTCTCTTGCAGCAACTGCTCTCTCCATTCTCAGTCTTTCATGGTCATATGGCTCCTCCCAAGCCCTATGTTCACAGACTTGAGGCAGTAGAAGATGGGAGGGAGTCAGAGAGCAAGTCCTTCTGAATCCTATTCTTTCTCCTCCTGATCAGGGTCAGACATTCAGGGGCATCTTCAAACAGATCCTGCCTCACAGTATGTTCCTTGCCACATCTCCTCCCCACCTCCTTTCTTGTGGAGGAAAGACCTCAATATTGATGCAAAAATTACATTAATAAAATTATTTTGACTTAATTTCTTAAGTCATTACAAACTTGTTTGCACCTTTATTGAATATTAAGATATAGCTTTAAGAAGGTTATAGTCAGGATGTTTGGAAATACGTTTGGCTAGTTATGTTAGGAAATGTTAAAGCTAATCAAAGAAATTCCAGGTTTCTGTTTTTATTTCCCATGGACAAGCAAATATCAAGAAATAAAGCATGTAAACATTGATGTTTTAGGAAGAAACATGATTGTGAAAGGAATGTAGGGTGTGTTATCAGAGCAATAAGTTTAGGTAAAGTGGGCTCTACCAACCCCCACACTCTTGCAAGAAAACCTGCTTGTGTTCTTAAACACTTTAGAGAAAAACATGTTTAGTTGGAGATGTTTTAAACTTTTATTTATTTCTTAAATGTTGAAATGACAAACACCTCTGTGAAATGCAGACTTCCAAATACGTTAGCTGAATGAAAACTTCCTAATATAGCTCCTGATGTCATTGCGGTGTAAATGTTAAAATGCCTGATGGACCAACATGGAATCTAATGACCTTGCTCAACTAGTGTGAGAAGCCATTTAAGTATAGGATATTCATATTAATGGGAAATTAATTTCTGGCAGTGCACAAGCAAACCCTCAACCAACTCTGGAATAGAAGAATCAAATCTCCAAAGTCATCAACACTTAATTATTGAAGCTCAAGACTATTTGAATTATTTAATTAAAAAAAAACTGTTTTAAGAACAGAACTTTTGTATAAAAACAGGAATGTTTTGGAATATTGGAAAAAGATTAAAAGAGAAAACTAAAAAAAAATCTTAGAAAATGGACTGAACAAACAGAAAATTTTAATTTTAAAAGATATCTGGATCTTTCCATCCCCAAGAACAAAGGCAGTTAAAGAAATGCTGCATATTCATTAAACAGACTGCATATTCAAGAGCTGAAAGTGTCACCTAAGCCAACCCTGAAAGGATGACAGCAATCAACTTTAATCTAAAAATTTTAAATCTAAAAACCTCAAAAGGGTGTGTTTTTCTATAATTTCTTGAAAATAGGAAGGAGACGGGTGTAAAAACTCTGAAGTGAGCCCCTCACACATGCATACAGCCCCGTGCCCCTGCCCCTGGCTACTCTTCTTAGACAGCAAGCACCTCACAACCCATCCTATCCATCCAGCAAGCTGCCACAGACAGATAGGAAAAACACAGAAGACTCAAGAAGAAACCAAGGAAACCTCCCCAAAACGTCAACCTGGTTTGGTGAGAGAAAGTTAACTAAGACACTGCCAAGACCCTTGTAATGATTTTATTGGGCTATTATAATGCTTTTGTAACTTAAAATATTAACTTTCTCCTGTTAATCATCAGATGGTTAAACCATGTCTTCCTGGAGAGGAGATGCGCTAAACATTGGCAAACAGAAATAGTGGATTTTAATTGGATTTAGGATTCTTAATATTGATTAATTGGCCTGAAATGGCTTCTACTAGGTAACTAATTTAAATATTTTCTTCAATTTCATAGGATTAGTTAAGATTGCTTACTTTTTCCAATTATAAACTGTCTGGTTATTTAAGCTTAAGCTGTTTATGTAGAGGCAACAATAGTTTGTTTCAGTATCTAATACGATGCTAAACTGCATTCACAATAATTCTAGGCAACATTATACTTTGGTCTTAACTTACTAAGAGAAAAGCACCCCCTGGACTGGTTCACTCTCCAGGGTGTAATCTCTTTTAAAGCTCTCCACAGAGAGAGAGACAGACAGACAAGAGATTGTAATGGAAGTCACCAGTGATTTACTTGTTGTTTTCTTTTCCTTTATTTAATAATAAAATGATTAATAATTATGATTATTTTTCTTTGCCTTAATCGTGGTGTCCCCTAAAGTATGTAAAAGACCCCCCATGACTAAATAGTAGGAGCCCCACATCCTTGGGTTGGCAGCCAGAGAAAAATTAGTAAGAGTTGGCCTACTGCTTCGTGTTTCTCTCAGCTAAATAGTTTTAGTAATTTTTAAAATAAAATTACGTTGTGTCCAACAATTTAAAATTACCCCTTTCCAGTCCACATCTGCCCCCCCATCACTGTTCACAGCCGGGATCTCCTCCTCAGGCTCCAGCAAAGCATTCACAGTGCTCTGTAGAGTGTCGGTGGAGTCACCACCAAGTATGGCATGGTTTGTTGTAAAACGGCAGGTCTGGGGACACCACCAGATTTATTGTTGCCCTCCCTTGCCTTCTGATATCCCAGGCAAAGTTCCTTTGCTGTCAGGTGTCACTACTGTTCATCCCTCTCAGGCCCCTGTTTCAGCATCCCCTGTGCAATCTGCACATAGCTGTCAATATTTCTGTGGCTGTTCCATAGATGTGCTTGCACAGCCTCTTCTCCCCACACAAGTAGATCCAGAACGTCTTGCCTGCTCTCAGCAGGAGTGCTTCTAGTGCCTCTGGAGCTGGCAAGGTCTGATGCACACAAAAAAGGTGAGCTGATAGGTGTGTTCCTCAAGGGGGAGGCAGTTAGGAAAAGGATTTTTTAAAGGAGGGGTGAGGAGGTGGTGGGCAGCTTTGGGTCTCTGTGATCTCTTGGCTGTGGAGTTTGTGACCAGAGAGGCCACTGTTGCAGGAATAGGGGCACCTTGGGACAGCTACTGGAGAGCAGTTAGAGTTGACATAGGAAATGCAGTGTTTACAGTCGCACTGTCACCCTAAGTAGGTCAACTGTGTCACTTGGGGAGATGGTGTCATTGTGTCACTGTAATGGTGTGCATATGTTGGCAGGAGACAAATTTTGGTGTAGACATGCCACAACTAGGTTGATTCAAGTCAACGTACGGTGCCCTAACTTTGTAGTATAGACCAGGCCTGAGTATACAGTGCACTAAGTTAATGCTAAAAATCAGCCTATGAAATGTATCTTACAATCTTTGTCAGAAGTTTGCCAAAAATGTTTTTTTAATAACTGATGATATAAAAACTCCAGAGATTTTAATAACGTTTGAACTATCACTTTTCCAGGCATCAATAAATTTACAAAGAAACTTCGCAGTCCATATGCAATTGATAACGATGAGCTACTTGACTTCCTTTCCAGAGTTCCCTCAGATGTACAAGTGGTGTGTATATATTTTTTTAATTCTCATATGGTTGTCAATTTAACATTAGATTAATAATTCTATGGCTTTGTTTTTTATAATTTTAAAAACTGTATTATTTTGTTTTGACTTTATATTCTCTGGCTCATAGAAATTGAAACTCAAACAGGCTGGTGAGTCTTCTGCACTTTTTCCAGTTAGGGAATTAGTTTTTGCCTGGGTTGTATCTTTAGGGAGCCTCAGGGGCAATCAGTAAAAAAAAAAAAAAGAAAAGAAAAGAAAAAGAAGGTTTGGGAAATGGTAGTGGGTGACCGAGTTGCTATTAACCAACTTGCAGGGACTGTTGTAAATATCGCTGGAGTAATGTAGTGCTGGGGTTTGTTGCAGGAAGTGCTGCTGCCTGAAGCCATCAGCCCCTGAAGAGAGGAAATAGGGATATCACATAATGAAAGGAAATTCAATAGTGCAGTCAATGGCAGGCTGTTTTGCCCAGTATCTTGGGGTAGCACTGTGAATTTGGGTGGTTGTTGCCACCTATTTTTCTAAGGTGAAAATTGTTTTATTTACTATAGGGGATGAGGTTGCCCTTTTAAAAAAATGTGTTATGAAGTTCATGCACTTATATTGTGGTGTGGGATCTGACATGAACTGTTAAGTGTTACAGCATGTTGTTCTCATAAATCACTAGGTAGATCAAGAGGATAGGCTTTAACATTTTCAGATGCTGGGTTAAATTCATACTTGGTGTTGCACTTGCATACATTATGCCTGAATCTGCCCCTCTACATGGTGTGGGCTTTGCATTACTGGAGAATGTATTAAATAACAGATTGTAAGGAATTTGTATTTATCTCTTTCAACTGGATACTGTTTTATTTTCAATGTAATATTTTGTGAGGAAAACAAAAAGACTTCACTAAATCAATACCCTATTTTATTTCCTGGCAGGATTTTCCTAATTCTGATTTTTCTTCTTACTCCAGATCTATCATTCTATTGTTTTTGCAGCCCAGCTGCAGATCCCATACAGTTTGAAGCAGAATAGCACTTTTTTCCCCCCAAGGAAAAAAAAAATCTCTTATTCTTTTGGTGCTCTTTTTTTGTGCTGGTGAGTGGCCACCTGACCAGTTTCTTTCTGAACGTTGTGTTTAAACAGGTGCACTACCAAGAACTGAAACAAGATCCCAGTCACAGCCCAAATAAGAGGAAGAGAAACAATCCTGGCTAGCCAGCTTCATCTCCTGAGGAGTCTAGCATCTGCTGAGGGAAGATAAAAGGAAAAGCCCAAAGCCTAGGCAGCATTTCCTTTCTCTAAGCTTTTTATTTATTTTGCCTTTTTATCACAGTGGAGAGAATTTGTAAATATTGTACAAAGGCATTTATCATTCAAAATGTATTTAGCATTGTACAGAAAAATTTGATGAAGCCTTCAAATATGGGTTATACTGTGGGGAAAGCCTGTGATTCATAACATAACACAATAAAAATACCTAATGTAAAATAAGTGGTAGATATGTAATATCTTTTGATAGTAGAAGGCACATAAAACTAAATTAAATATTCAAGTCATGCTGATTAAATCTGCAAAAATATAAATTTAAATCTGATTTGAAAATGTAAGTGCAGTTTTATTTGAACGTTATTTATTTGATAATATTTTTATCCAATAAGTTTCCATTACAGTTTTTTATTTTTTATAAATTTAAACGGAAATACAATGTAATGGAACCTACTGCATTTAAGTTTTATCAAAGCTTTAGACACTCTTGTTAACTTCTCGTGCAGTGTATTCAGACTGACTTGGTGTATTTCTCATTAGCTTACAAGTAGCCCAACTGCAAATCTCTTACTAGAGCTCCATTAATTGAAGAGATTCCTGCCTTTTTTTATCATTCCATCATGAGACTTTAAAATACATACATATATCTAAAAATACTGCCAGGTTTGTAACTGACTACATCTCTTTTTATATGTACCAATAATTTTAATTTGTACTAACTAGTTTAGTGAATGAAATACATAGTTCAGTTGTAAAGAAAATACTATCAAACTAAATCCATATTGCTTCAGGTGTCAGGTTATGAACACCATTTGTGCACATAAAGACTTTTAATACTAAACTGTTACAGAAAATGTTTTTGCTTTCTAATTACAAAGTCATATTAAAATGCTTTATGGCATATTATATTACCTGTTACTGGTGTGACATACAGTGTAAGGGAAAAATGCAGTGGTAAAAGTGATACCAGTTTTATTTCTTTATTTAATAAAGTAATCAGTCCTCCTGATACAGACATCCCCCACTGCCTGAAAGTCTATTTTGTAAATTAAATGGCATGCACACAAAAATGATTTACATTTCAAATGTTTGAATAGCCATTGTATAAATAATACATAGAGATATATTCTCATATCTCTGCATGAAGAGTTCTACACCTAAAGTAACTCCCCACATAGGAGTGTACTATACACTACTAAGGGCCTACTTATTTGACTCTTAGTAATGTCACATGGAATTTTGCCTGAGTAGGAACTGCAGGATTATGGCCATGAGAAATTCTCTGTGCCCTACTTTGTGGGGCAGCTGGCTTGTGTTGTGATTGCTGGGAAAGTTGCATTGCACTACGTATTTGAAAAAGATATTTAGAAATAGCGCGTGCAGGGAAATGTATATATGTGTCTAGCTCTCATGAGCAATGCAGTTAATTATTTAATTTGGAAACTTATTTTTGTTGTAAAGATATGTTGCTAATTACAGCTTTTTATAATAGAGCTATTTTGATCTTTTCTGTTTGTATAACATGCCTGAAAGAATGCCACTCCTATTACCTTTCTGTGAAAAGCCTTTGGCCTAAATGTGCTCCAGTTAGATAATTATGTTATAGTGATCTATTTAAAATGCACCCATACCTATCCTGTCACTGTTGGTTGCTGAAGAACAATACACCATTAATGAACAACTCAACTTTACTAAAGCATCATTATTGTGGGACTCTTGTTTGAAATAACTTTAAATTTGATGAAGTGTAAAAATTTGTCCCCCATTGATGTATCCAGACTTTCTCTGCTGTACTGAAAGCCTTGTACTCTATCTTATCCATCAGTTGTTGTGCAATTTCCTATACTGAATTTCTAATATTTAGTTCACTGGTAATGTCTACCTTATGAACAGTTACAGCATTGTCCAGCTACACTGGAAGGAGGACAGGAGATATGCTGTGGTTTAATGAGCTGCCAACTTTCATCTGTGAGGTATGCCCAGACATTTAAGAATAAAGTGCAGGTAATTCCATAAACCTATAGGGAGGGGGCTTCTGTCACTCTCCTCCTTACATATTCTGGTCCCCTCACCATCCTCCTACCCCCTCAAATGTGGGTGGTGGTGGTGGTTGTTGTTTTTGCGGGGGAGGAGGGGAAAGAGACTATGGACAATATTGGTTCCTGCCTGTACGAGTCATAGGAGCTCTAAACAGCCTGCTTCTGCTCCTTTAAATAATACCTCCTTAAAATGGATTGGTAAAGGATTTAATCTGATCACTCTGTCCCTTCCCTATGGAGTATCCACACGGGACAGCTTCCCCACATTTACATAAGGAGTTGTGACATCCTAGCCTAACTCCTCTTTCATGTTTGCCCCAGCTAAGCCCCCTGAACCTGCTGTGGGGAAAGTGATAAACCCCCTCACCTTACTTTAGCCAATCTGATGCGCTGGGAGGGAGAACATAAGAATGGCCATACTGGGTCAGACCAAAGGTCCATCTAGCCCAGTATCCTGTCTACCGACAGTGGCCAATGCCAGGTGCCCCAGAGGGAGTGAACCCAACAGGCAATGATCAAGTGATCTCTCTCCTGCCATCCATCTCCACCCTGTGACAAACAGAGGCTAGGGACACCCTTCCTTACCCATCCTGGCTAATAGCCATTAACGGACTTACCCTCCATGAATGTATCCAGTTCTCTTTTAAACGCTGTTATAGTCCTAGCCTTCACAACCTCCTCAGGCAAGGAGTTCCACAAGTTGACTGTGCGCTGTGTGAAGAACTTCCTTTTATTTGTTTTAAACCTGCTGCCCATTAATTTCATTTGGTGGTCCCTAGTTCTTGTATTATGGGAATAAGTAAATAATTTTTCCTTATTTACTTGCTCTACATCACTCATGATTTTATATACCTCTATCATATCCCCCCCTTAGTATCCTCTTTTCCAAGCTGAAAAGTCCTAGCCTCTTTAATCTCTTCTCATATGGGACCCATTCCAAACCCCTAATCGTTTTAGTTGCCCTTCTCTGAACCTTTTCTAATGCCAGTATATCTTTTTTGAGATGAGGAGACCACATCTGTACGCAGTATTCAAGATGTGGGCGTACCGTGGATTTATAGAAGGGCAATAAGATACTCTCCATCTTATTTTCTATCCCCTTTTTAATAATTCCTAACATCCTGTTTGCTTTTTTTGATCACCGCTGCACACTGCGTGGACGTCCTCAGAGAACTATCCATGATGACTCCAAGATCTTTTTCCTGATTCGTTGTAGCTAAATTAGCCCCCATCATATTGTATGTATAGTTGGGGTTATTTCTTCCAATGTGCATAGATTCATAGATTCTAGGACTGGAAGGGACCTCGAGAGGTCATCGAGTCCAGTCCCCTGCCCGCATGGCAGGACCAAATACTGTCTAGACCATCCCTGATAGACATTTATCTAACCTACTCTTAAATATCTCCAGAGACGGAGATTCCACAACCTCCCTAGGCAATGTATTCCAGTGTTTAACCACCCTGACAGTTACGAACTTTTTCCTAATGTCCAACCTAGACCTCCCTTGCTGCAGTTTAAGCCCATTGCTTCTTGTTCTATCCTTAGAGGCTAAGGTGAACAAGTTTTCTCCCTCCTCCTCATGACACCCTTTTAGATACCTGAAAACTGCTATCATGTCCCCTCTCAGTCTTCTCTTTTCCAAACTAAACAAACCCAGTTCTTTCAGCCTTCCTTCATAGGTCATGTTCTCAAGACCTTTAATCATTCTTGTTGCTCTTCTCTGGACCCTTTCCAATTTCTCCACATCTTTCATGAAATGCGGTGCCCAGAACTGGACACACTACTCCAGCTGAGGCCTAACCAGAGCAGAGTAGAGCGGAAGAATGACTTCTCGTGTCTTGCTCACAACACACCTGTTAATACATCCCAGAATCATGTTTGCTTTTTTTGCAACAGCATCACACTGTTGACTCATATTTAGCTTGTGGTCCACTATAACCCCTAGATCCCTTTCTGCCGTACTCCTTCCTAGACAGTCTCTTCCCATTCTGTATGTGTGAAACTGATTTTTTTTTCTTCCTAAGTGGAGCACTTTGCATTTGTCTTTGTTAAACTTCATCCTGTTTAACTCAGACCATTTCTCCAATTTGTCCAGATCATTTTGAATTATGACCCTGTCCTCCAAAGCAGTTGCAATCCCTCCCAGTTTGGTATCATCCGCAAACTTAATAAGCGTACTTTCTATGCCAATATCTAAGTCGTTAATGAAGATATTGAACAGAGCCGGTCCCAAAACAGACCCCTGCGGAACCCCACTTGTTATGCCTTTCCAGCAGGATTGGGAACCATTAATAACAACTCTCTGAGTACGGTTATCCAGCCAGTTATGCACCCACCTTATAGCAGCCCCATCTAAATTGTATTTGCCTAGTTTATCGATAAGAATATCATGCGAGACCGTGTCAAATGCCTTACTAAAGTCTAGGTATACCACATCCACAGCTTCTCCCTTATCCACAAGACTCGTCATCCTATCGAAGAAAGCTATCAGATTGGTTTGACATGATTTGTTCTTTACAAATCCATGCTGGCTGTTCCCTATCACCTTACCACCTTCCAAGTGTTTGCAGATGATTTCCTTAATTACTTGCTCCATTATCTTCCCTGGCACAGACGTTAAACTAACTGGTCTGTAGTTTCCTGGGTTGTTTTTATTTCCCTTTTTATAGATGGGCACTGTATTTGCCCTTTTCCAGTCTTCTGGAATCTCTCCCGTCTCCCATGATTTTCCAAAGATAATAGCTAGAGGCTCAGATACCTCCTCTATTAGCTCCTTGAGTATTCTAGGATGCATTTCATCAGGCCCTGGTGACTTGCAGGCATCTAACTTTTCTAAGTGATTTTTAACTTGTTCTTTTTTTATTTTATCTGCTAAACCTACCCCCTTCCCATTAGCATTCACTAGGATAGGCATTCCTTCAGACTTCTCGGTGAAGACCGAAACAAAGAAGTCATTAAGCATCTCTGCCATTTCCAAGTTTCCTGTTACTGTTTCTCCCTCTTCACTAAGCAGTGGGCCTACCCTGTCTTTGGTCTTCCTCTTGCTTCTAATGTATTGATAAAAAGTCTTCTTGTTTCCCTTTATTCCCGTAGCTAGTTTGAGCTCATTTTGTGCCTTTGCCTTTCTAATCTTGCCCCTGCATTCCTGTGTTGTTTGCCTATATTCATCCTTTGTAATCTGTCCTAGTTTCCATTTTTTATATGACTCCTTTTTATTTTTTTAGATCATGCAAGATCTCGTGGTTAGGCCAAGGTGGTCTTTTGCCACATTTTCTATCTTTCCTAACCAGCGGAATAGCTTGCTTTTGGGCCCTTAATAGTGTC